AGACTAAAAAACACACATTGAAAAAGCAGTGACTGAGATGAAAACCCTTACAGATACTGAATACTATTAATTAGTTTTGAAGCACTTCTGGATTTTAATTAAGGGTATCTTATTGGATAAGAAAGGTTGGTGTGTAACCAGATCCCCTGTAGTAAGCATGAAATAATAACTCCCTTTACCCACTCCCTTCAAATTCAGATGAGCTGAGGAAAGAGACAGAAAGAAATTCACAAGCCTATATGAAATTTTCTTTGGACCAATGAAAATTTTGCCTTCATAGAGATTGGTTGGTGAGCTGAGAAAAAGATGGAAATAAATTCACAACCCTATGTAAAATTGCTTTTAGACCAATGAAAAACTTGTCTTCATATAAACTATATGTTAAGCCAAGAAAAAGAAAAAAAAGAAAATAGCAAACTTATGCAAAATCCTTTTGATTTTAAATTGAGGAAAAAATTAAAGAGAAGTGTCTGAAGTCATGTGAAAGATTTTGTTTTTGGTCACACATCCAGTTTAAAGTTTTTGCTAGTGTTAAATTACTTGCTAATTATATTATCAGCCTTTTAACCAGGCACAAGACACTTCAAAGAATTTTCTATAAACAATCCAAGACATCTAAGTATTTCAAATTATCTATCTTTGTCTACTTTTGAATGTATGCAACTGTATATCTGTTCTGTGAACAACAAAATCTCATATTTCTTTTAAACATTTTTGAATATTATTTTGTGTCAGATCATTTAATGTGTTGTATGAACATTTCCTCTTCATGACAATTCATTAAAACTATGGACTTTAAAAAATTCTGATTTATTTTCCTGGAATGAGCTACTGACACTATTTCAAGCATGTAAATTTGAAAATAAATTATCATCTTCATCATTACTTCATGGTGTGGGTAAATCAACTATTCATTTTAACCCCTCAGCACCATGTCCCTATACCTCTGTATTAATGATTAAAGGAAAAGTCTCTTACATTTTTTCACTATTTGTATATTAAGTAATGTCTTATTTTTCTATATATTCTACTTGTTCAAATTAATACTTGTAAAAACCTGCAGAATTCCATGTGGAGTACAGGGACCCAACCTTACAAAGCAAGATATTGTTGCTGTGGTTTCTGTAGAATGTAGTTTCTTTTTTTTTTTTTAATGATATAGAATTCCTAGCCCCACACTCAACAAGCTTTTAATTCAGAGTTCCTCCATTTTTGTGCTGGTTGCCAACCAACGCTGGAAAGGCTAATCTGTCCTGCTGTTAACCCATACTTAAGGAGAGAATAGATGAATTCGTACCTTTCCCAGTGGTATTTGTGTGAAAGCAAATGCAACAGCCTTGGTTGGAATTTGAACTTACATATCACATTCTCTCTTTCTGTACTGATAACTTATGTCATAAGCACATCCAAAAGCATGAGTAATATTAAAAAAAAAATTGAAATTACTAAACACTATTAATAATCACGTGAATAACGTAGAAAATTAATGTTTTATTTTTCTTCTACTTCTTCAAATGAATTCATGTAAAATTCATTTTGAAATTATTGAACATTTAATAATCATGTGAATAAAATAGCACACCACACTTCTTCAAATGATTCAATTCAGAAAGTAAGCATTTAATTTTTTTGCACAATTTGACTATTGTCTGTTCAAATTATATTCTGAGTAATTGGAAACTTTCTTCTTATTATGTCTTTTTACAAAAACCTTTTATGTCTAACCCAATAGTTTTTGTTAAAATTTTCAAATTTAACTAAATTAAACAGCCACTGTGACATATTATAATAAAATAAATGAATGGTATAGTCACATGAAAATGCTTATCAAGAGTTACATTTACAATATTTTTAGTAGTCTTTCCAGTATTCTGTCATTCGTGACTGCAATTTCTATAAACAGGTTTTATATTTCCCATCATGCCTTGTGATAAAATTTAAGCTCATGATTTTCAGATGTCATTATCTACACCAAGCATGTGCCTATGTAATCATACCTATCAAGGTCATTGAAAGAAACAAAATGAGAGGAAAACACATACATGTACATACATACATAGATGCATACATACATTTTTAGTGAATAAATACTTAAAAAGAAATACTTTAAAAAGAGAGACATGTGCTTTTATTTTTATTGTTTTTATAAGTCATTTTAAACAAGGTGTCCCTAAATATTTTAGACCATTGACACCTTCATGGAATCTGTGATTCCTCATTGACCTCCAGGCATTTACAAAACAAGTATCAGTAATAATTATTTTTGATTTAAGGGTAGAAATTCCTTTGTCCTTATCCTTCATTATTGTTTCTCAGTAAAATTGAGAAAATGGTTGCAAAAAGCAATAACAATACATAAAATTAAAATGCTTTATATTTTTTGAATTTCTTTTTCAATTCATATTTCTCTTTTTATAATAGATGTGTTTGTTCTAATAATAATAAAAACAGCAAAAAAACCCTTTGTAAATAATATTGGTAATAATAAACACATTAAAAATAAGTTTATAGACCTTTGTGTGATAAATAAGGTACCACTATGGTTTACATGAAAAGTGAAAAAGGGGAGAGCTGTTAACTATGTTGTCTATTGTGGTCCTACCAAAAGATTGAACTCACCATCCTTGGCTAATGAATTTCTGAAGCTTAATGGATGTGTTCTAAGCAGTGGCAGTAGCAGGCTTGTCTCCCTTCTTGTTAAAGTGGATTTAACCATTAGGCATTATTTAAAAAGGAAATGGCTACAAATATAGATGTGAGGAAAAGTGTTCCAAGGATGAGGATGAGGAGGAGGTCAAGGAGGAGGAGGAGGAAGAAGAAGAAGAGGAGGAGGAGGCTTCCTCTTCCTTTCTTGTCAAATTCTCTGCCTCTGGGTGGAGAGGAGCCCAGATGAGGCTATGCCAAAGCACAGAACCTCATTTGGGGAGGTAGACAAACCTGACCCCATGTATACGTGGTCTACAGGCAATTTTTGCCCAAGCATATGGGATCAGAATGCCCCACATTAAAAACTGACCTTGTACCACATCTTGCTTTGTGACTCTCATGGCATATGGAAATCCACAGAAGTATTATCATAGTAGAGGATGAACCTCTACCACAATAATATATAGGCAATACATATAGAGGAAAAAGATTCAGTAAAGGAAGCCTAGGCCGTGCCAATTATCAAAAGGATAGAACCAAGAAACCAAATCCTCTTGGATCTGATGGCAAATGCTCTAGATATGATATTTGTGAATCTACCAAGCAATGAGCTAAAAATTTTCAACATGCCTTTGACAAAGGAAATGAGAAAGATGTATTTGAAGCCAATATAATTTTCTGTTGTCTGGTGAAGTGTTGTCACTCAGTTTATTGATCAAGATCCTATTTTATCATCTACTTCCTTTGGATTAACTTAATTCCTTTTAAGCTGAGGAGTGGGAGTCTAATATCTTCAGAAATTTGTTAGCCAAGGATGGTGAATTCAATCCTTGGTAGGACCACAAGAATCAGCATAGTTAATGACTATTTATTTAATTAGATGACATCATTAATGGGAATGAAAGGTTTGATGAGCAGTAGCAAGGTAATTGATACTTATTTAGAGATTGATAATTTTTTGTTTTAAGTGACCATGATTTATTTATTGACCTACAAGGCATTTACCAATCTGATGGATAGTCCCATAAATTCCCAGGGGTCAATACTGAACAATTTAGAGACCTCTGTCTTATCATATCCAGTAACCTTCTAGATGTACATCAGCTTAAACTTTCTGATAAAAACAATAAAGATTAAAGAATTGGATGGAAAAAAATCATTGAAAAATAAAAGTAGCTTTCCTCTGAAATTTGGACAAAGATGCATTTTTACAGCAGTTCTCTCTCTGTTTTTCTATTGGCATTTTGATTTGTTTTTTTTTTTATCGCATATGCATGTCCTTAACTAGAATCAACAAATACATATTCATTATGAGATTTGGATTCAGGCTCTGTTGCAAGCATATATTTTATTTTCTCATCCATGGTATTTGATTAAAAAAGTTGTAAAGGGTAAATACAAACTGAGCATTTTGATAAAAAATGACAAAAGTAAGGGGGGGGGTAAGAAAAAGTAGTTAAAATTATATAATGATTTATTTAAGAAATTTGTCCAACTTAAAAATATATATATTTATCCTTCATAAAGGCAGGCATGTGTGTGTAAGTATTGTAATAAAAGTATTTGATGAATTAGTTCACCTTCATTACAAAGCTGCAACTCAAGAGCATTTAAGTTAATTCTGTTTTGTCATTATATAGCATTAGGAGCATTTAATTTCAACTAATTTAATTCAGAAAGATTACATTTGATTGTACTGCAACAGCTGTTATATTAAAATTTATGAAGATGTGCTGAAAAGTTCTTGGCGCTATCAAGAAGCACTTCCAAAATAATACTGATATTTGGTCATTTGGTGATTTGGGAAGTGAATTTGGTCATTTCGTGCTTTCAGGAAGTGAATTTTCTGGGAAAATCTCAGCAACCAGTTGTGAATAAAAACAAAATTCTCATAATTGGCATATTTTTGTCTATTGATTATAATATTGAATATAAAAGAAAACAAGCAACATTTGTTGTATGTTATGTTTTTTTTTTATTTTAAGAAAGATAAAAATGTAACTCAAACTCAAAAAAGATTTGTGCAGTTTATGGAAAAGGTATTGCTAATAATCAAACATGTCAAAAGTGGTTTACAAAGTTTTGTGCTGGAGATTTCTCATTGGATTATATCCCATGATTGATTGATTTGTTTTCTATGGCTTATCAACCCTTTGCAGGTTATTTAAAGCCAGAAAATATTTTTTATATTATAAGAATTTGGGTGGGGAGATAATAATGATTTAGTGATACAAGACTTACTTATAGCTAAAAGAGGTGGATTCATACTTTTCCCAAGTGTGTGTAAGTGAATATAACAAAACCAACTGGAACAATTCTAAACTGTTATCTATTACACCACTTGCACATCCAAGCTTACAGCACCTGGTATTCTCAAGCAGTCACCCATCTTGGTACTGACTAGGTTTGACATTGCTTAACTTTGGTGATCATATGGGAACTGGTGCTTCAATGTGATGTGGCTATAAGCCTCCCATGATCTGGTAGATTAGTTGAGATTGGTAGCAATCAAATCAAATTTATTATCTGAGAATAATCAACTTGATATGATGCAGGAGATGTAGTCAAAATATTTAAATCAAATGATGATAATAACAAACTTGGTTATATTAGTGAAACAGGCCCATGGAAGAGTGATTAGAATATTAGCATGACGTCCAGGTTCAAATCTTACCATGGTTGATTTGTCCAAAAGATGACTTCTTGATATCAACCTGGAGAAACAACTCTAGCATGTAGCACCATTGGGAATTGCTTAAAAAACCATGAAATGTGAGTGAAATTGATGGACAAAACAGTTCAGAGGCCCTTAATGGCTGTGATAGCATGATGTTAAAATTTATCATGACCAAGGGTTTGAGAATACTGGCCTTGTTCAAATCCTGATCATACTCTTTCAGAAAGTCTAATACATAGTTGCAGTATATATTACAATATATTATTATTATTGGCATTATTGGTGTTGAAGAAATGCAAATTTGCCTGAGCTGCAATCTGCAATAGGTATTAGCTAGCCACCCTAGCAGATGGTCATTCTTGGAAATGAGTAAAGAGCCATTACTTATATGTAATTTTGATTTGTAGTTTCCACATAGGTTAAGAAAAAAAAACCCTATTGTACCATAATTCTGGGTATGATTTTGCTACTTAAATGTAATAAACTATCTTGTTTTGGGAAGAATTATGATAAGCAATGACAAGTGGATAATTTATAACAGGTCATAGGGTAAACAAAATGAATCAGCACTGAGTAATAGCTGGTCTTCATCCAAAGTTGGCAATACTGTGTATTAGAAGGAAGTCAATGCTGTTATAAGAAGGAAGGCAATGTTAAGTATTAGAAGCAAGGGAATGATGTGTATTAAGAGGAAGGAAATGTTAAGTAAAAGAATGAAGGCAATACTTTGTATTAGAAAGAAGGAAATATTAAGTATAAGAAAGAAGACAATGTTAAGTATTAGAAAGAAGACAATACTGTATATCAAAAGGAAGGCAATGTTAAGTATAAGAAGGAAGACAATGTTAAGTATTAGAAAGAAGACAATACTGTATATTAAAAGGAAGGCAATGTTAAGTATTAGAAGGAAGGCAAAGTATTAATCCATGATGAGTTTTTGAGAAATGAAGATAAATCATTGCCTTACATTGTATGGGTATAGAAAGTGAATTTGTGTGGGTATGGAAAGTGAATTTTCTTTTTTCCTTAAGTTTTTGATTTACAATTGCATACTTCAAAAAAGTAAATCATTCTAAACAATTAAGGTTTAGGAGGCAGAACATCATTATAGATATTGGTTATTGAATTAGAGACCTTTTGTTTCCCAGTTAACTTGGCACAAAAAACCTGAATAACTGTATCTTGTTAATAATTTTCAATAAAAAGATGTTTTTTTTTTATTTTGCCTGAAACTGATTAATTAATAGAATATGTTTTAATAATGTGTCTGCTATAATTTGAATGTATTTAATTTGTTCAATTTACAAAATCAGATTTTTAAAGTTCTTCTTCACAAACACTATAACTTGTTTTCTACTTTGTCATTAGCAATTTTATATCATCAGAAATTTCAAACACTAGAGAGTAAAAATAAAAAGATATCAATATTTAGGATATAAACACTCACCTTAAATGTTGACTCATACTCAGGTAGACTGAAACCTTGTATGAGTCATTAATGGACCCTGATCTATCCATACACCTCAGATATTGATATCTGCACATTGGTAAGAAAAATCAAGGTAAGAAAACTTAAACTTAGTACTAAGTACACACATAAGCACGCTTATTAACTAAAAAAAAATAATTTCAGAGTTTTGATTGAATCTGACCACGTAAACAAAAAAATAAATAAATAAAAATATAGACATGTGTGAAATAGTGTCCAAATAAAAGTAAAGATGTTAATTAAATGTTTTGTTTACCCAGCAGTTAGAGAACCTTCAACCAACGTCCAATAGTCTACTAAAAAAATTCCTCACGTCTCTTTAAAAAACATGAATTCTCAACTGTAAGTTCACAAGAAACGAATTTATTTTTTCTATTGCTACTAAACTAAAGTATATGACATTTTAAAACTACTAAATAAATGAAACTAAAGCGATAAATGAATGAGCCATCCAAATAGTAATAATAATACTGTGGGAAAAAAGCGTGTGTTTGTGTAGTCGATATTGTGCGCGAGAACTTTAGCTGAGACACAATCGTGGCTGTTGAGATCGTGTGCGTTTTATGTAATGATAGACTCTCTAACACATTGCTACAACTACGCTAAATCAGAACAGTATACTACAAATAAATGACACACGCATATATTGTTAAATTAATTCACACATTTGAGTGAGTGATTGCATATACACACACAATACTGTCTAACCTGATTAGCCAATGGGAAAGTAATATTCTACCGCTGCTGATGGCAGTTATCCAATCAAATGGCGATACGTCATAGGATCATATCGCCAGCCACAAGCGGGGGCGCCTGTCACGTGAGCAGTCTTCCCTAAAGCAACAGCAGCAGCAGCAGACATGGCTGGCTGCAGTAGAAGATATACCAAAACAACATTTACTTAAAGTGAAAAAACAACAACAAAATAACTTTTCAGTTAACTTTTCCACACGAATATGCCATTTTTAAACCGCTTGTTTCAGAGCAAAAGGCCAAGGAATAATTGCAGCAAAAGTGTAGCACCCGAACCAAAAAAACAGTGAGTTTGTGCATTTGTTTATATTTGCTTTTTCTTCTTCATGTATCTTGTCGTCTGAGTGACGTAACTTTGTTGTGTCTGTTGTAAATGCTGACTTTAAGTTTTGGGGGATTTCATTTAAAATGGGTTTTATTTCAAGTCTGGTACTTTATAAATAAAGTATGTATGTACAGATTAAAGATTACTTGAAAAATTATTGAACCACATACATTTGATGATTTTAAAAGGGGGGGGGCGATAAACCTGCGCCATGCGGTTGAATTGATGTTATGGATTTTTTTTCATATCGCAAACTAACGATTCATCCCTCCACGTAAATTTTACATAGGTGTCTATATGTAGTATATTTTAAATCTTGCTGAGGATATTTTTATGTTTATATTGTTTTCTCTAAAAATCGCCTAGTGCTAATGAGTTCTATCACATTTTTTTATTTTATTTATTTCGTGTCTCTAATCGTCTTTAATATTTTAATTTTATCGATATATTTCTTATAAATATTGCCATTTTTTTAATTTTATGACAACTAATTATTTTTTAAATGTGGTTTTTAGTCCATCATATTTCTAGTTAATTACATTTACAAACATTTTTTTGTACGTAAGTACTGCTCCTTATTGTTTATGTTTGTTGTTATTCTTGGTAATATTAATTTCCTTTTTTTGTTTGATGTTTTATGATCAAACAAAAAAATAGCCTGGATTTATTTTATTTTAAAATAAATAGTAAAATATTTTCGATTGAAATAAAAAAAAGTTAACTTAAAATTCAAGTATTTTTTTAGATTTTCAATACTTGTGTGCAGCTGCAAAAAAACGAAGTGTCCCATTGATTCTAGTTGTTTGTAAGTAAATAGTACTAATGACGATCTGTAACATTTTTAATAAATTCTATTTTTGACTGAGACATTTAAGAATTGTAAAAAAAAAAATAAAAATTATAGCAAAAAAGTTTAAACTAAGTAAAAAGTATTATAATTAAAAAAAAAATATTTTTCGATAGTTTCCTTAGTTCTGTAGTAGTTTTAAAATCCGCTAATGAAAAGTTTATTATTCCTGTATTCAGGTTCATTCTGCAAAAGTCATATTTTGTGGATATCATCCCTAACCTTGAAATTCTTTTTCTAACACCCTGTTTCATAGATTTATCATTTAAGATGTCTATCTTTTTAGTCTAGACCTTGTAAGGCAGTGGTAGTAAAATTTATTAGTAGTATCTAGTATCTCATGCCACAGTCGTTCAAGCAGCAGTAGTAGCAATGTATTTGCTACTGCTACACAGTACTACACTTTATAGCATGTTTTCTGTTATTTTTAGTATATAAGTCTTTTAAGAAAATACCTTGTTTAAAGAGCGTATTTTACGATGCATTTTTGTGGTTAAAAATTGATGTACTTTTAAAATACTTCCACCAAACTAAAAGCGTGTAAAAAATGTCTTTTTTTTTTTTTTTTTTTTTTTGACTTTTGTATTTACTGTTTTTCGTTGTTATGTTTGCGAGTATTGACATTTTATTTTTATCTCGATTTATTTTTCCAGACTTTAGATTTTTTTCAAATAAATACTTTTGGAAAACTTTGTCTCAAAGAAAAAATTGATTGTTCTCATTGATTGGAAATTGTATTTAATTTAAGTTACTGTTTTAGTTTTATTGTTGATTAAATTATTAATTACTAATAGTCTAATTTTCCACTGTGATATTTTAGGTGAATAAAAACAATTTTAAATTCTTGTTGTTGAAATAGGACTAGGAGTCTATTTCTTTTACCTAACTAGAGATTGTTTTAGTGTTGAAAACTTTAAATGATAAGAAGTAGTACAATCTATCTATTCTAAATGATGAGTTTACTTACATTTACATATAAACGTCATTGGTTGTCGAAACTGGTCCGGATCAAACGAAAGCACATTTTTAACTCGTGCTGTTACTAGGGTAGGATGCCTTTCAAAGAAAGTATGACTGGCAATCATATTTTTATTTTATGCATTTCAAATATCAACCACCGTTTAACCGTACTTTTTTTTTTTTTTTTTATCTTTATTTCATTTTAGTAATCACTTATTCGATTGTGACAGTTAAAAATGCTCCATCATGCATCTTTGTTCAAAATGACCTACGTGTCATGTTACACTGGGTTATATTCGCCTTCATCTACCCACAGACAATCACTGATTTATTTTACTTCGTTAATCCTCTGTCGTAGATCGGGTAGGATTATAAAAAGGACTAGATTTTTTGTATCACCTTCAGTAAAAATAACTTTTAAAAATAATGTTACTCCCGTGAAATAAATTGACTTTGAGTTTATTGTCATTAAATGAAAATATTAAAAAGTTGAAAAAAAAGAAAGAAAAATACCACATACAAATTTGTTACAATAATCTAACAGTTTAAATTAAAAATATGATAAATATTCATAAAAATAGTCATCTATTTTGACTCAAAATTTTTTTAGGTACTTCAGTTTAGAACCCACTGTCACATGTGTAGTTTACATTTGTTTTTTACCCGTTATCCTCCATGGGCTACAACAGTAACACGTTTTCTATTTCCTTACCCCAAGTAAGTTCAGTCTTTGATTACAAAAGGTGACAGATGTTGGTTATGTTCGAACTGGCCAGAAACGTATCGGGATTAAAATGTGAAATAATGGTAAAAAGTACTTTTTTAATTTTAGGGGGAATTAGAGAGCAATTATGAATTTTATTTTCATTTTTGGAATTCCATTCATTCAGAAGTATTGTACAGTTGCAAGTTAATTTATTTATTCTATAAATGAAATCTATGTTTTTATTTAAGATTAAAAAAATAAAATAATTTATTTTAAATTAAAATCTTTGTTTTCTTTTATACTGATTTGTATTGTTATTGTAGAGATGTAAAATAAATGTGCTTGCGAAAAATTTGTAGCTTTGTGTATATTTGAGATTTTAAAATAGTGATTGAAAGAATTATTTACTTCTTAAAGGATAGCACTTGCTTGGATGAATTTAATTTGAAAATTTTACTTGATAATGCATTCAAGGCTCCATGCACACATCACGTGATGGACTGACTGCGCTACTTGTGTCTGACTCGTGTAGCTGATGATGAATTCCAGTGCGATTGTACTAGAAGTTGGCTGTGACATGCTGGAAAATTTGTAATAATAGTAGTTGTAGTGGGTACATGGATATTTATACACACACACACTCTCTCTCTCTCTCTCTCTACATGCACGCATGTGTGAGTTTTACTACTGTCTGCACATGTCGATATCTGTTTACCTTGCCTCTTTTCATTGCACAAAAAGAGAATGTGAACTTGAAATTCATATTTATTGCTACAGCTTCTAAAAAGGTGTCGATCCCTTCTCGTGGAAGGAACAGTATTCGTTCCCTCCCTCGGCGTGGGCGTTCGCTTTAAGGATTTCCTCAAATATCCGCATATGTATACAACAATACATACAAAAGGTTCATACAATCATGCTAAACATTTTTTTAATGTCTTCGTTTATGTGAATCAATACTGGATTGTAGGGAATAAAGTTATTATTACTTAAGTTGTAATGTAAAGAAAGACGTTCTGAAAATCCACTCTCCCCAAAAGAAAAATACAGTTAAATAAATTAAATTCTTACTCAATAAGGGGGGAAAAAACCCACCGTATCTTGAAAGAATTTTTTTGGTTTTAAATTGCATCAACAACGATACAGTCTGGAGGTCATTGACTGTTTCATTTGTCTGCTCACCAACTCAAGTTTGTTTATTGAGTTACTCCACCAATCAGTCATACTATTTAATAAATGAATTAGGGCTGTAGAAAAGAAAGTTATACTACAGTACACTCTCCATTGTACAATAATATCTAACTTATGAGGTGAATTTGAAGATAGTTTCCATACAAGACAAGCAGAAGCTTAGTAGAAAAAACATTTTTTATTTTTTAAAAGTAGTTGAACACGTTTAAGGAAAATAATTTTCAGTTAAAAAAATTATAAAATTGACAATTAACATTACTTATTTTCTCAAATTATTTTTTTAAACTGAACTGGTCACAAGTTAAAGTTAAAAAAAATAATTGTCAAAAATGGTTTCCTATATCTACCAGCTCCTGCTTCTTCTGCATTTAGAGCACCATCTTGAGTCTTTAAAGAAAAGAAAAAAAAAGTCACGTCGTGTGATATTGGTCATATTTTACTTGGCTAATCATACATCCACGCAGTATTATAAACAAAAACGTAATTTTCGAATCACACACTCCACGCCACATTTCTACAGCATTTACTACGTACTACGTAGTAATGCCATCTTTTTACTTTTACTACTACAACAACAAACTCTATATTCCTAATTTTAAAAAAGTATATTTTTCTTTGACATTTTAAAGCTTTTTTTTTTAGTAAGAAATTGTTTCCAGACAAACTTAATTTTATTTTTCAATCCATAGGCTAAAAATCCTTTCCTCATGATGAAAACAATCGTGTTGCTAATTTCTTGACCCACTCTGTCAATGACCCCAACTTAGTGTCACTGTCACTTCAAGTTAGCGTGTCTCGTTTTTGATAAATCTGAATGCACTGTCTGCTCTCACCATGCCATCAGCCATACCTACATTTATTTTTAAACAACGATTATTTAATAATTCTTACATGCTATATTGTCTTCATTTTTCTTGAGTGTCTCTAATCTTTTTAGCGGCCGACTTCAACGTTGAACAAGGTGTGGTCGAATGTCTGAGAAATGCTTTTAATATCCTTTTCTTTATTCACATGCTTCGACAAATTCAGACATATAAGTTAAGCAACATATTGCTTAGCTTTCTGTTGCTGTGAAATCTAATTTATGGATTTTTTGGATAACGTTTTCTAGTTTAATAAAATATTGGTGAACATTAACAGTTAATAATATTGAACAAATTTAACAACTGCAATCATTCTTTATTGATTGCAGTTATCTTTTTTTACTTGAATTGTGAAAATAATTGTAATTAGTCATTATTCTGTCCATTTGATAAAAGA